GAGGTAACCTGCCCAACGTCGTTACACAGCACCTGGGATTTGAACCCACGCAGTCTGGCTTCAGAGCCCTTGCTTTTCATACAGATGCCAGAGTGTTGCCATAGCCAGCACGAGCCCTTTCTCTCCCGGCCATCGAGGGGGGTCACCTCTTAGAGCCCCTAGGACAGGGTAGGAACCCTGTGGGTTTCCCAGACTCTTTTTTTTTTTTTAAATAAAAGTTTTATTGGCACCTAAGTGACATATCCTGTCATTCAATCGTTCAATCCTACCAAGAAGAATTATACAATCATTAAATCATCAATCTTAGAACATCGCCCACCGCCCCACCCTGACATGGTTAAATCGCCTCTAAAATGAGTTATGCGATCGCAGTCAGGGCTACTGCTCCCTGCCCCCTCCCGCCTTCATCTTGCATTCCTGAAATCCCCCTCTCCTTCCTACCCCTCGCCCTCCCCCCACCAGCACCTCCAGGACTAACTCTATACGGGAGTAGAAAGCTTCCTCTTTCTGGTGGTGGTTTCAAACTGCTGACCTTGCAGTTAGCAGCCTAATGTGGAACCACTACATCAGTAGTTCTCAACCTGTGGGTCAAGACAATTTTGGGGGTCGAACGACTGTGTCACAGGGGTTGCCTGATTCAACACAGTGGCAAAATGACAGTGATGAAGTAGCAACGAAAATAATTTTATGGTTGGGGGGGGTCACCACCTCCTGAGGTCGCGGCACGAGGAAGGTTGAGAACCACTGCCCTACACCAACAGGGTTCCAGGCGCCCCTTAGCTTAAGTATTAAAATGAGGTCTGGGCAGTCTCCAGTGATAAGGATAATGAAAAGCTAACTGGTCACAATACGCTGCCTGCACAATTGCTCTAGAACAGGGGTCCTTGACTTTTTTCCACTCAGGACCCCCCATCACCTGAGACAATCGCCACTGGGGCAAGCACTGCCAGGAAATGCCTCAGACTGTATGTTTGCTTGGGAATGGCTTTTCGCTTGCTGCATGTTCAGACACCTTTTACTGTTACCCATTCCCCGAGCCCCACAGTCTAACAAGCTATGCTCACCCAGGCTCTGCACGCCTGACTCTGGCTGCCACCGCTGAGGCCAGTCTGGCTCACTGCAACCCTACAGGGCAGGGCAGAGCTGCCCCCCAGGGTTTCCAAGACTCATCTTTCTAGGAGCCAACGGCCCCATCTCCCTCCCACAGAACCGCCTGCCAGCCCTTTGGCGAGCAGCCGGGTGCTTAACTACTGTACCACCAGGCTTCTGGGCCCTGCTCTGTGCCTTGTGGCA